TTCTGTTAGTGGGAATGCAAACTAGTGCAATCTCTTTAGAAAACAGTGTGGTGATTTCTAAAAGAACTAGACATTGACCTTCCATATGACCTAGCAATCCCCCTACTGGGAACATACCTGGAGGAACTCAAATCATTCTACAAAAAAAGATACCTGCACAAACATGTTTATTGCAGCACTATTCACAATGCAAAAACATGGAACCAACCGTGCTACCCACCAAAACTGGGCAGGAGAAAAAAAAATATGGTACATATACACTATGGAAAATTTCACAGCCATAAAGAAGGACAAATATATAGACTTCGCAGCAACTTGAATGGATTTAGAGTCTATCATACTCAGTGATCTATCACAGAAACAAAGAACAGAGTAACACATGTTCTCACTCATATGAACATTTACCACAATATTATAAGAAAGGGATTGGCAGAAGTGGGATACTGCTGGGGTGGGCATGGGAGGGAGACACAACATCAATAAGGGTACCTGATCTCAAACCAGGCAAAGTGAGGACCAAAGGGAGGCCCAAACTTTACCTGTACGATGACCACTTGTATACCTAATCCTGAATTGTGCCCTACATCTTTAAAATAAAATTAAAAAAAAAATTAAAAAAAAAATAAATTTTTAAAAAGGTTAAGATGGTAAATTTTATGTTGTATGTATATTACCACAATACAAAAATGATTTTTTTAAAGGAATGAAGTACTGAGACATGTTACTCATTAATGAACCTCACAAAAGACTACATATTCTAAGAGCCCATTCATATAAAACATCCAAATCTGTAAAGACAAAAAGTAGATTGTGGTTGCCCAGAGCTGAGGTGAGGGAAGTGGAGGAATGGGAAGTGACTGCCAGTGGGCACAGGGTTTCTTCTTTGGATATTGAAAATGTTCTAGGCCAGGCACAGTGGCTCACATAGGAGGCTAAAGCGGGAGGATCGCTTTAGCCCAGGAGTTCAAGACCAGCCTGGGCAACACAAAAATCAAAAATTAGCCACACATGGTAACACATGCCTGCACTTCCAGTTACTTGGGAGGCTGAGGTGAAAGGATCCACCTGAGCCCAGAAAGTCAAGGCTGTGGTAAGCCATAATCGTGCTACTGCACTCCAGCCTGGGTGACAGAATAAGGCCCTGACCCAAAAACAGAAAAAGGTCTAAAATTAGATTATGGTAATGGTTGTACAACTCTGCAAATAAACTAAAAATCATGACTTTAAATTGGTGAGCTTCATGGCACGTAAATTATATCTCAATGAAGTTGTTAAAAAATACACACAGGACATTTTTAATATTAAAATAGATAACATAAAATTGTGTTCTAGAAATAGTGTGCCAGTTGACACTCTGTGTGCTTTTTCACAGTAATTAGAATCAACATTTCACTACTAAATATGTAGTCTATACCTAGATGGTATATAAACAGAAACTGAACAGAATTGATTCACTCAACAAATATTTGTTGAGCCTCTACTATGGTTTTACATGATAAATGGTTCTAGACACTAAAGATACAACAAGAACAAACAAGATGTGCTCCCCACCCTCATCCTCACTGATGATGGGGAGCACTCTCCTCAAACCTCACAATCTATGGTACCCCCATCCAAGGTCAGCCCTCCTACACTATCAAGCCTTCGCCGGAAATTTCATTCTACCATGCTCTTTCCCGACCTCATTCTACAAAAGTCCACGAAGGTGCTCTGCCCAAGGAAGTACAAACTGTGCCTACAGGAAACATCTCTTTTTGGTCTGCTTCTAACCAGATAGCATGCAATTAATGGTCATGTGCTAGAGGAAACCATGGATGAATAAGTCTGGGCCTAGGCCTTGGGAAGCTCACAAATGGGGAGAAGCGAACTCTTAGGCAGAAAAACAAAGAGAGTAACCCAGGGTTGTGGGCACAGAGGATTCTGTCCAGGACCCCAGGTATCATGGCAACAGTATAACAAAACTAGCTAGCATTTAATGCTCTCCCCAGCAGGTGCCAATTACTTAACATATACAATCTCATCTCATCTATACAGCCACCCAATAACATAGATATCATCATAGAGGAGAAACTGGAGCTCAGAAGGTTTAAACGGATTACTCAAAGCAACACCTCTAATAAGGATTCACACCCACTCATCCTGACTACAAAGTCCAGGTTTTTCCTTAGAGGCTAGGCACAATGGCTCACACCCATAGTCCCACCTACTCAGGAGGCTGAGGCAGGAGGATTACTTGAGCTTAGGACTTCAAGGTTGCAGTGAGCTATGTAAAATCCTTCCAGAATCCTCTCAGAACTGGTTCAGAGAACTAGAAGGAAGACAGGACAGGGTACTGAGAGTCAGTAAGCTTGGATTTCAATCCTGACTCAATCATGTACTTTTTGTGATCCCAGACTGGTCACTTCACCACTCTGAGCCTCAGTGTCCTCTGTGAAAAAGGAAATAACATCGTCATCTCAAAGGATCATTGCTTAATCTGTGATTTAACAGTCACTGAGCCCCTATTATGTGCCAGATACCAGGTGAAGAACTGGGCTTACGCAAATGAACAAAATGCTGTCTCTGCTCTCAAATGGGTCGCAGTCTAATCTGGGAGACAGATCAGTTAACAGCCAACACTTTCACTGTCCACTAAAGGAGGCGTCAGTACGTGTACTTATTAAGCACTTGAAATGTGCTTAGTCCAAATTGAGAAGTGCTGTAAATGTAAAATTCATATTGGATTTCAAAGACTCGGCAAGATAAAAAAGAATGTAAAACAGCTCATTAATAATTTTTCTACTGATCACAAATTAGAATGATAATATATAGAAATATTAGGTTAAATAAAATAGATTATTAATTTCACCTGTTTCTTTTGACTTTTTTTAATGTAGCTACTAGAAAACTTTAAATGACATATATGGCTTGCATTGTATTCCTATTGGACAGTGCTGGTCAATAAAATTCAGTAAGGTCAATAAGGCCTGAGTCAGGGTCAGTGACAGATGAGGGTGACTAGAAGAGCGGAGGACCCAGGCGGGGATGAGGAGTGTCAGTGAAGGCTTTTTGGCAAGGACATCTAAATAAAAACACGAAAAACAGCAGGCATTAATAAGGCCAAGGCGGGGAAGGAAGAGCGATCTAGGCAGCAGGAACAGAAAGTGCACAGGTTCAGCGGTAAGAAAGAACAAGGTAAGCTCATTCACTACAAGAGTTTGGCAGCCTGGCACAGAGTGAAGGGCATGGGGAGGAAACCAGGTTGGGAGAATAGGGAGAGGAAGTTAGAGAGGTAGACAATTATGAAGGACCTTGGAAGCCATATTAAAGAACTTCATCCTGGGTCAGGCTAGGTGGCTCATTCTGTAATCCCGACACTTTGGGAGGCTGAGGTGAGTGGATTGCCTGAGCCCACAGGTTCGAGACCAGCCCAGGCTACTTGACGAGACCTTATCTCTACAATAAATCAAAAAATAAGCCGGGCACAGTAGTAGCTCTGGCTACGTGGAAGGCTGAGTCAAAAGTATTGCTGGAGTCCAGCAGGTGGATGCTTGAATGGTCATGAGCGGGCCACTGCACTCCAGCCTGGGCAACGGAGTGAGACTCAAACTCAAAACAAAAAACTTCATCCTGAGGATGATGAGGAGTCACAGAGGGTCTAAAGCAGGAGAGTAAGAGATTAGCTACCCAGAATGAATGCAATATCTAGGTAGGCAGACAAAGGAGACAAGAAAAGGAGAGTATTTGCTGATTTGTTGAGTGAGTTCTCTGGACCAGACACTGGGTTAAACCCACTTAGACACATTTTAGTCCCTATGCCAAGCCTAGGCTATATACCAACCCATTCTGCAGGTGATAAAAACTAAGGCTCACAAAGGGTGAGTGACTCTAGCCCAAGGTCACAGGGTTGCAGAGTGGCAGAACTAGGATTGAAATTCAGCTAAGTCTGGATCTCCAAAGTCTGTATGTTTAGCCAAACATCACAGAAATGAGATGAGCCATCTGAGAGAACAATGGACTTTTTCTTAATAGCAATCCAAAGCATTAAAAGTAAAAAGCAGCAAACTATGAAGATCAGAATTACATTTTTAAAAGAGTTTCAAACAGTATGTACAGGACTACTAGAAGTGTGAAGGAAGCCAGGATAAGCCAGGTGAGAAGTCATACCTCAATGTACTAGAGCGGTAGAAGATGAATTGAAAGGGAAAGATGAAGTATCACAAGATCCAGTTAGGCCGTGAGCATGCCACTGCCCTCTAGTCTGGGCAACAATGAGTGAGACTCTGACTCAAAAAATAATAATAAAAATTTTAAAAATAAAAATAATGGCAACACAGGATCATTTTTTTTAGCACTGATATGTGCCAGGCACTACACTTGCCAAGCTAATTGCTGGACAGACATCATCTCTTTTAATCCACACCCGAACTCTGTTGAGTGGATATTACCACTAGCCTAACTTACGTATGGAAAAGCAGGATAAGTCACTTTACCAAGGTCACACTGTTAGTCAATTTACAGGGCTGGATTTGAATCAAATTCTGTCCAACTCCAGCCAAGGCATTGCCATTGCCTCCGTCCTGGGTGACCACTACGTGAAAAGAAATATCTGGACATACAGACTTACATTCTCCGTAGTTTGGAAAGCAAACCCCAAACCAGAATGAACAAGTGCCCTCAAGGTCCCAGTCCCCCAACAAGCCCCTACTAATGGAATACTCCACGTGGTCCCACCCTCGACCCAGTCTTTGAGAAAACCCCTTACCTGTCCCTCACGCCCTGTTCAAAGTGTGTCCCGAAATGCTAGAGGCGAATGTGGTGCAGGTCGGGACTCCCAGGCCTCCACACTCGGGGTCAGCTGGTAGGAAACCCAGAAATCCTCCCTGAACCAACCCACCCACTGTCCCTAGCCAGACACCCCCAAATACCCTCAGGGGTAAACCCTGAGGCCGCGTTGGGACAAACCCGCATTAAAGGAAACCCCGGCCCGGTTACCGCGACCCCCAACGCCCGGGCCGCACCTGCAGCCGCTGAGCGTCCCGGGGAGGGTGACGTCCTCTTCCAACACCGAGGCCATCACGGACACAGAGACAGTGGCAGCGTTGGTGCCTGTGGCGGCGGCGCCACAGGGTCCCCCCGCGGTAGCGACCCGCCGGGCTCCGCAGGTCCCCGCCCCCTCCAACCCAGCTCTTGTTCTCTGGCGGCGCCGCTGGAATTCAAACCGCAGCCGCCGCCATCTTTCCCGGCGCTTTTTCCTACGTAAACGAGGCGGGGTCACCGAGGCACGCAGAGTGAAGCCGACCTGCCGAGGGCCAGAGACCGGGCAGGGAAGCGGGGGCGCAGGCGCCATCTTAACTAAGGGCATAATCGTCCGTGCTTGGGCGAAAAAGACTCAAGAAATAGAGGCCGGCTGCCATATTTTGTGATGACACTCATGCCGAAGCCAGGGCGGGCGCCATTTTTGTTGAGGGCGAAAGCCGGACCTGGTCAGTTCATTTAAGCGGGAGATGAGCATGAACACGGCCCCTTAGGGACCCTCACAGTTACTAACCCAGTGTTTGCTTTTCTAGAATTATAACTTCCAAACCCTGGGATTTGTGAATCCACAAGCCTTACGCCTCGAGTTGAAACTCGAGTACTATCTCACTTGAGAAAAATCGGACGTACAGAATGTCAACGAAAGCAGTAGTTTGCAGACTTAAGTTTGAAGCAAATAACTCAATCCCTATGAGCCAAATGGTCAGCTCCACTACCACTCCTATCCCTCACCTAGCGATCCTTCATTATCGTTAGGACTCAAATGCTCCTGCCATGAGAAAAGTGAGAAACTCAGAAACATTCTGAGAAATGAATCTCCCAAAGGAATACATTACAAGTCTGTCAACTGGAGCCAGATCTGCAGCTCATGCAACTAAATGAGGACTTTCTTCATAGCTCTGGCTGCCTTTCTTAAAAGCACATAGCAATCACCTAACACTTAGCTAATTGGACAGGGTTTAAGCAGTGAAATCCACCTCCCCTTCCTCATCTCGGTGTTGCTCCTTCCTCTTCCTTAGTGCCTCCTTTCCCCCTTCGGCCTCGATTTCCCCATTCTTCAATTAAGTAATTAATCACTTTCCAAAAGAAGCCTTCCCTAGTCCTCTTATGTAAATCAAGTCACTACATGTATTCTTAGCAACCAGTAATATTCCTTTATAGCACTTACGTTTTGCAATTATATGTATCTCTGCTTTTTAATTTCTTCTTGCACTAGACTGGAAGCTCCATGAGGGCAGTGACTGTGTCCTGAATTGCTCACTGCTATATCCTCAACACATAGCACTGTGCCTGCCACCCAGCAGGTATTTGAAAATATATGTTAAAGGAATGAATGATTCAATCAATGAATCAATCTGGAAAATGAGGGCTAATATCTATTCTGCAAGGTTTTTGTGAGAATGACCTGAGATACTTTTAGGATCTCAGTCAATAGTAATTCCACATATATCCCATATTCATATTCTCTCTCTCTCTCCCTCCCCCACCCCCACATTTAATGAGGTCTACAAAGTGCCTGTCCCTCTTCCTTTTCCAGTTCATGAACAACTTTCAGAACTAGAAATAAGATAGCCTGAAAGAGAGAGAGGGGGCTTGGCACACCAGGTGCACTGCCCCCAGGGAAAGGCCAGCCCTTGCCAGTAAGTTCCACCCATGAGATGAGGTGTCCCAAAGCAGGGAAGCTGGGGTGTCAGGATTCCCACCCTGGCTCTGCCACCAACTCTGTGATCTTTGGTAGACCACTTCTCCCTGGGCCTCAGTTTCTACAACTGTTAAATAAAAGCACTGGACTTCTCAGGACATTACAGCTTTCAGATCTGTGATTTCTCTGTGCTCATTTCAAAGCGACTTACATACATCCAACTGTCTTCTGCAGAGGGTGACTGAGTTACAAATCATCAGTTACCAAATAAAGGAACTAACTTCCCATCCAGCTAATGAAAGCTCTTTAGAAAAGAAACAAGGAAGAAGACTTACACATTTTAAGCTTGTCTTATATATCACTTGTTCCAGACTTATCACATGTACCGCTTCATTTCACCCTCACAACAACATTTTGGGAAATGTGCTACTATTATACCCATTTCACTTACAGTTGAGAAGATTGAGGTTGCAAAACGTAAAAAGAACCTACTCAAGCTCTCACTGATGAACTTGGAATTGAGGCCAGGTCCCTCTGAACTCCAGCACCCTAATTGTTTTAGGAAGCCTGTCATTCCCATTCTTTTTTTCTTTTTTTTGGTCTTATTTCCGCATTTTTTTTGGTTGTTTGTCTGTTTGTTTGTTTTTGAGTCAGGATGAAGTGCAGTGGCATGATCATGGCTCATTACAGCTTTACCTCACAAGCTTAGGCAATCCTTCTGCCTCAGCCTTCCAAGTAACTGGGACTACAGACACATGGCCCTACACCCCACTGGTTTTTTAAAAAATTTTTTGTGGAGTCAAGGTCTCACTATGTTGCCCAAGCTGATCTCAGACTCCTGGGTTCCAGAAATCCTCTTGCCTCAGCCTCCCATAGTTCTGGGATTATAAGCGTGAGTCACTGCACCTGGCCTTTATTTCCACTTTAAAATTTAGTAGGAAGAGATAACGTCTACAACATCCAGACAACGGTATTTAAGTGATGTGTTTACCAGACTCTACGCCTTGGGCAACTGTTTAGGTGGCTTAGAGGTGAATCTGAGTGTGGGCTGTATGATTACAGGATTGGAAGTTTGGGCACTTAGATTCTATTAATAACTCTGGAAACTCCTCCAAATTTATCCTGTGATGTTTCCTTACTGCACCTAGACCATCCCATGTGTAAAACTGGGGAGACAATGCTGAGCTTATATGGTTGCATTATCTAATGAGATACTTCGGACACTATCAAGAAGAAAGAGCTTGTGAAGAGTTCTCGTTATGATGAATTCACTGCCTTATTCAGCCTGACCGTGTTCCTGGACCTGGAAATTGAAAATAGAATCAATTGCAGAAAGAAAAGCCTGTTTGGGAAGTTGGTTTTCCTGCTATTCTAGTGGTTACACGGTCAGAGATGGAGGCCTTTGCCCTGTCTCTCTCTCACCATGGTCTTTCTTTCTGCCAAGCCTGGAGGTGATGTCACCGCCACCAGCTGTTTGGGCTATCTGGAGCCATCTCCTTGACAACAGCCGCCCAGCCACAAAGCTGTCATTATTATTTCCTTGGACAAGGTCATATCGAATGACTGGGAGGAAGTAGCTTGCAGTCAGATGTTTTTCATTTAAAATCTTAAAGTTTTAGCATCTCAAGACACTTGAACGGCTATTACTGACAGAAAGAATAAGTTTCTGTAGGATCAGGACATGTACATTGCTACTTTGCACTATTCCATGTTGTCCTTGTGACACTGTGAAGTGAACTGGGATGACTGCACTGAGCTCACACAAGGAAACCAAAGGCTCAAAGAGGGGGAGAGATTCACCAAAGGTCACTCTGCTTCCTTTCCTTAGCTTTTTCACTCAGAAATAATTTCAGACCTAAAAAAAGGTTGCAAAAACAATACAAAGAATTCCTCATATAGCCTTCACCCAGCTGCCAAAAATGTTAACCTCTTACATAACCATAGCATAATTGTCAAAAATTAAAAAGTACTTTGATACAATCTGATTTGCTACAGATTTTATTTACATTTAATCCATTTTCTCATTAATTCCCTTTTGCTGGTCCAGGATCCAATATAGTATTCCCCAGTGCATTCACTTGTTACATCTTTTGACCCTCCTCCAGTCTCTGATAGTTCTGACTTTGTTTTTCATGATAATGACACTTCTAAAAGTTCTTGCCAGTTACGTGGTAGACTGTTCCTCAGTTTGTGTGGTATTTCCTCATTATTAAATTCAGGTTATGTACTTCTGACAAAAATACCACAAAAGTGTTGTTGTTCCTTTCGTAGCATGCATATCAAGAGGCACATGATGAATATGTCTCATTAATAGGTGGTGTTAACTCAGATTTCTTGGCTAAGGTGATATCTGCCAAGTCTCTACAGTAAAATTGCTGTTTTTCCTTTTGCTGTTGATAAGAATCTGGTGGGAAGATATTTGAGATCATGTATCCAGTTTTTATACTTTCATCAATTTATCTACTGATAATGCTTACCCAAAACAGTTATTAATTACAGTGGTATTTGCCAAGTGATAATTTTCTACTTTCATTAGTCCTTCTATTGCACTAGTTGGAATTCTGCTGTAAAGAAGAGCTTTCTCTTCCATTTATTCACCTATTCAATTGTTTATTTATATCATTTTGGACTCATGGATATTTGCTTTATTTTATGTGTTATAGTTCATTGCTATCATTATTTGTGCACAAATTGTCCTATATTTGGCCAAGCTGTCCTTCTAATACATGGCAATGCCAAGATTCAAGTTTAGGTCTGTCTGGTCCCAAGGTCAGCAGTATTTATGGCACACCAATCAGCCCCCTTGCTCCCAAGAATGCTTCTTAACCAACCCCCAACATCAGTCATCCTTGTGAGGGGACAGTTTTCAACTAATATCCACTGTCTTCTCCATAGCATGCTGGCTTATCAAACAGTAATGCCTTCAGGCCCAACATGTAGCCCAAGGCTGTGTATGTAGTAGATGCTCAATGCCAGTTTGTCAAGCTAACTCCAAGTCCTGACTTTTTATCAAGAAGGGAAAGAGAATGAGAAATGCCCTGTATCAGGGGAATCGAATGTAGATTATTGGACTAGAGGGCAACACACATCAACATGATATAATGTTGATACCAACCTGCCAACTTAACTTTCTTTTCTACTTATTTTTATTTCTATATATTTTTTGCAGACAGGGTCTTGCTCTGTCACCCAGGCTGGGATGCAGTAGTGCAATTATAACTCACTGCAGCCTCGAACTCTGTGTTCAAGGGATCCTCCTGCCTCAACTTCCTGAGTAGCTGGGAGGCAAATTTTATTATTTTTATTTTTATTTATTTACTATTTTTTTTTTTTTAGAGATAGGAGCCTTACTGTGTTATCTAGGCTGGTCTCAAACTCATAGACTCAAGTGATCTTCCTGACTCAGCCACCCAAAATGCTGGGATTACAGGTTTGAGCCACCATGTCTGGCCTCAATTCAATTCAACTTTCTAGGCCTATTTTCTGTATTTTTTGTTTCTTTGTTTGTTTTTGTTTTTGTTTTGAGTCAGAATCTCGCTGCATTGTCCAGGTTGGAGTGCAGTGGCACACTCACAGCTA